CCTTCCATATTGCCATGTGCGCATATGTGCCTTCACGATGCCAACATGTTCAGTGCCATTCTTTTCAGTTAACATGTTTGTTTGCTCTAACTGTACCAGGACATGTGCCTGACATACCTTTTGTATAGTTTTGCCTCACTGCTTTTCGACAGTAAGTCTCATGAGAAACTCACAGCAGCTTTTGTTCCTGTATGTTCGACCAACAATTTGATTGTATATCCGTTTCACAGCTCTACAGAATGTGCTGGCTGGTTCTTCACTGCCTTAGAGCTGGTAAACCCAGGTTTGAATTCTAGTCAGATCACATCTCCAGTAAGCATCTCTGGGCTTCTTAACATTGTGATAGAATTGTTAACCCCTTAAAGACAGCGGGCGTGCTATGCCATCCTTGGGGAGCCGGCTTTAAACCTCGTCGGGCGGCATAGCATGGCCACACCATCCTGGCCATTTACCTGCTCGCCGGCGATCCCACGCTGGTGATCGCAATGGGGGAACTTACCTCGCATCACAGGGAGTGCTTTTGTTTTTTGGGACTACCACTCTCAGAAGGTGTAGGAAATTGAACCTAAAAAAAAAAACCCTCCTGCTAGTTATCCTTCCTTCTGAGTGGCCAAGGCCCACCCCAGTTTCCCTTATATACAGCTCCCCTCTTGCTACATATGTATCCTCTTTTTTCCATCCCCCATTCCTAGGCAGCAGTCATGTCTTTCCCTTCCTTCGGCAGTCCAGGGAAACCCTTTCTCTCTGACTCCACACCCTCCATCTCCTTACTATTCCATACCAGATTCTTTATAAACCACCTCATTTCCTCTCTTTAAACCTCCTCCTCTCTTAGTTTCTTCCAGTTCAGTTTCCATATTCACTTTGTACCCCCTCCAAATCTACATTTGCCACACACTCTGTCCATCATTTTTCTACATATCAGTCCCCTTCTCTCCTACCACAGAAGTCCCCATATCCTCTTCATATCTGGTCTGTTCCATCTCCCCATATCAATCTTCTTCCGTTGGCTCTTATTCTCACATGGGACTCCTCTGCCCCACTATGTTCACTTTAGTAGAGCTTCTTGTACTCCCACTATTTCATATCAGCCTTTATTCTTCCCTCATCAGTACTTGCTACTCCCTTTCCGGTCTCTCCTCTTCTTTTCCAACAAGCTTCTTTTTTTTCCTCTTGGCTTCCAACTTCTGCATTGATAAAGTACTGTACGTGTGCTCAGATCTGCACTAGCTATCTGTTACTAAGTGATGATGATGCCATGGGTCTCTGCTCTCCTTCGCACAGTATGTTTAATTGGATCTCTAGAATTGATGGCTACACTTTTGGTAAACACTCAATGCCATACCAGAGGTTTCTGAGACCTGGAAATTACACCCATGCCATTAGTCCACCATTGTTGGACTAGAAGTTGAGCATATATACGAGAGAAATAAACATGCTACGGAGAAGTGTTTACCCCCCTAAAACCAATTGTCACAAAAGATGAATAGGATCACCATTACCCCCGACAAGACTACATGTTTGAAGTGATGATTTTAAAAAATCACTTTGTAAAGAGAAAAATCAATAGAAAATAAACTGCCCAGCTCCCAGTGATAACCAGACACGTGTGCAGATTGTTATCTAGGTAATAAGGCAGTGTGAAACTAATCTGGTCTAAATGGATTCTTTTGAGCATCTCTTTATTGCTAAACCATGCTGCTTTTAGAGTGATACAGAGGGGTCAAAGTATAGCAGTGCTTCTGTACGAAATTAAATGCAAGTGAGCGTTGTAATTGACTCAGTGCTTGGTGCACTTTACAGTAACCTACATTTGTGAGATTTTTTGTGTGGTTAATTAGTAGCAAATTTCATCAGAAATGTAACAGAAAATATCATTTTTCAATTACATGCATATACATAGTTTCCTCCAAATAGCCTAACGTGGATATTTTGCGATCTTCTTACCAAACCTATATGTCATAAATACTTGCAATCTGCTGTAGGAATTCATAATAGAATCTTAAGGCGTTTGAAACCTAAAATCTATAATCCTTGTGTAGACTACTATAAATGATAATATTTTTTGCTGTCACAATGATCGTCATACCTACAGGTTGTCTGCTGCTTACAGTATGGAAGAAGTAAATATGATTGGGTGATGGATTTTGTTGTAAATCTATCAGGGTTATTTACTGAAGGGAGAATTCAAAGCTACAGAATTTTTCCAATTTGGCTTATTTGATTTGAAATTTCAGTCTGAATACTCTTTTTAGTAAATAACACAATTTGTGTAGCTAACTTGGTATTGAGCATGAAGTGGTTGGAGATTCATGGGTATAGTTTCCAGGTGCAATTGGGGAGTTTAAGGACACATGACATGTGTGACATGTCATGATTCCCTTTTATTCCAGAAGTTTGGTCCCTAAGGGGTTAAAGTAGTAAATATTTTAAGATACAATTTTTACAAAACATTCATATTGACTATATTTTGAATTTCTTTGAATTTCCATTGCCATCAAAATATATCTGAAGACTAAATAGGGGCAATTCCTGACATGGACAATGGTTGACAAAAGCAGAGCTTCAAATGTCAACTCATGTCTTCTGTCACTAGCAAGCGCTGTAGGGAATGGTATCTAGTATTGTGGTCACAAGAAGTTCCATTAACAATCTCACAGTCATGTATGAAGTATCAGAAGCTGAAGATAGACGTCTGGAGGCTGCAGCCTCCACCACACATCTACACATGGTCAGGAATGTTGGTGGTAAATTTAGTCCCTCCCACCAGTTCTGGCATCACCTTATGCACATACTCTTATTAGCAACAAAAAACAGTTCTGTTTGTTCATTGGTGTCATATTGATTCTCATCCATTCCCTGCAATTTTGTTGGAATAGTGAGTGGGAATTAAAGTTAAATTTAAACAAATTAGTAAATGTAGATTTTACTAATTATTATTGTTGACAAAATTGCTCATAATTTGTCATAGACTTAGCTGTACCCACCGCGCAGCTGCATTGCTCCAGTCCTCAGCCTGAATAGGCAAAAAACTCACCTTTGGTCCCACAAACAGCTCCCTCTGCTGCTTCGCGGGCCGATCTACAGCCCGTTAATATAAATTTCATAAATTATGACGTCACGCCTTTAAAAGGATCATGTCGTCTAGGCGATCCCATGCTGTTTGGAGTCAAAGAGATGAAGTGGACCAATGAGAACTCATGTGAACCTATTTAAAGCCTGTTCCCTATTGTGGTTTCTGTTTAGTAACATGTTTAGTGCACCTGCGACCATCTTGTGATTTCCTATTATTGACCTTGGCTTCATTTTGACTCCGTTGCCCTTTGGTGTCTTGGCCTGGCTTGTATTTTGACCTGTGTATTTTTATATCCTTTGTGTATCTGTATCTCTGGCTATTCCTGACTTTGAGTCTTTCTTGTAATATGTTAAATCCTGACACTCTAAGGCCCGGTAATACAGCTATTTGGACACTTACTTTGCAAGTATCCTGTTTTCTGTTTGTGTAAGGAGAAAATTACAATAGTTAAATGAATTTTGTATAAGTATTTGTTCTGTAAATATTGGGTCTTTTGCAACAACTCTGACTATGTGCGCTTATTTTAGTCATCCTGATCCTTTTGCTCTTTATGACTGTCCCTTTCATGGCAAAGTGGAGATCACTGAGCTACTGACCCACAAACCTTAACAACATAGGAGCATTTATTTTCTTTTTCCTTTCAGTTGAATATTAACGTAATGTTCTGGGGTGATAGAAAATAAGGGAGAGCTGTATCTTTAAGGTGATAATTTATAATAATCTATGAGTTATTACTCTTCCTTCAGCCCATCGATTGGATGATTCCTGACACATTTTGCATCTTATATTTGTCAATTTTAATAGCATGCTATGTTGAAAAAAGAAGCTTAATTAAGTGTAATGCTACATGGAAACGCTGATCTGAGGCTATTCAAAGTGATACCTGATAAAAATGGACTGGCAGGCATCGCACAGGGAATTAATAATACATCACTAATGAACATAGACAAGACAGAAAAGTAATTAAGAATGTCTGAATCAGTCAGCATCTGTTGTGCTTCTCATCGCACTAAGGCAACTATTAAAATACAACACTCCATATAAAAAGCAACCGTGTATATATTAGAGATGGTATTACTTTGCTATCTCTAATAACATTCTCTTGCCAGCGATCTCATTTTATTTTTCCATGTGTTATGTCTTCGGGACCATTTGACCACAGCTCTTTTGGCTGCTCCGAATAAGGAATTCTTCCATTCACAGCCAAGAAAAGAATCCAAAATGAATCTCTGCCAGTCAATAGCAAGTGTTTTGTTGGTTTACACTGTTCCTACAGTTACACTGCAGGCACGGGCAGCGTATCCTTAGGTTTCAACAGAGAATGACTTAATAGCAATGTGAAAAGGGAAGCCACACAGTGTAAAACTCACACAGTGTGAACAGGAAATTGATTTGCTTCATTTCTTTGGCTTGTAAGCTTGTCCTGTAAAGTAATGCATACGCTTTGCTGGTCTTTTGCTTTCGAATATTTCATTGATATGGTTTTAGTATTGGATTTTTCTCCAGCTGAGAATGTTCTTCGAAGTGGAATCTAGAAAAAAATACAACTTGGGGGGGGGAAAAAAAACTATAACTTTTATTATGTAATGAATGCTGAGCTGGCATTGATCATTAGGAAATTACATATGGGTTGGTGTTATTTAATATTAAAGTGTATCTGTCATGGCACTTTGCTAACAAATGTAAAGATTATTAGATTTTCAAAGATGTAAAAAAAATACGGTCTCTCCCCTCACTGGTCAATCAGACCCTCTGCAGAGCCAATGATGCACTTTTATGTTGAGAATTGAGTGACAGGAGTTCAGGAGAACCCTTCTACAGTAAATTTTCCTGCTCTTGGTCACAGAAACTACAGCACAAAGTGGTAGTTTGTCATTGTTCCTCAACAAGATATGCAGAATAAATAGTGGATCACAAAAATAGCAGCTTTATTGGGGCAAAAGCAGTAACGTTTCGACACTACTGGGTCTTTATCAAGCTTAATGAAGACCCGCAAATGTCGAAACATTACTACTTTTGCCCAAATAAAACTGCTATTTCTGTTATTCCGTAGTGCCTGAGCTGTTATTAATTCTGCATATCATGGAAAGGAGGCCTGGCCATCCCTGGCTTCAGAGCATATTTGGAGTGCGGTATCCAAAACGTCTCTACTATTGTTCCTCAACAAGCATGTATCTGATCAGACATCATTGCACTTGCAATAAAGGTAGCTTGTTATTCATGACTATGTTATTTGTTAATGTTTTATTTGTCTTGGTGTGTACCCCCATAATGCATAGCATACAGCCACTTGCATAGTATTCTGAGATCAAGCCAACTGCACAGAGTAGAAATACAATTGCATGTTATTCTAACTGCATGACCCTAGAAGCAAACATCCCATTGATAATACCTTTTTTAATATTTGTCTGTACACTGTATTGATGCAATTTTGTTACTTACCTGAATTTTATAAGGCACATCTTTTTTAATAGGGAAAATCCAATAATGTCAGCCCATTCTTGGACACAACACCGAAATACCAAGGGTTAATCATATTTATTTTCTCATTTTGCGGTCCTAATATGATCCACAGGCATGCTTTTGAAATTATGACTGTCTTGACAAATGAATTATATTTTTGTTTTCACGCCTCATTAAATGTGCGCGTCCCCTGTGGAATTGATAATGTTGCTATTAGTAATAAAGGGAGACAGAGTGATTTTTTTTTTCCCCACAGTCATGCAGTTCTTCTCTGGGGGGCTACACAGTAATGGACATTTGCAGGAACTTAGAGTACCTTTCATGTAGCTGGTTCACATCAAGTCCATGTGAAATTACAGAAATAAATAAACACCATTTAGTTCACATATGGAATTATAAGAGCATTGCTTGCCGCTCCTTTCATTTAACAATGCAGGTCACACTTTCACCAAATTTATTGCCAAGAACATAGGGAAGTAGTTTAATCTACATTATCAAGGCAATCACACACAACAGCACTGTGTTGCTGAGCATCATGGGAAATCTAGTCCACAACACAACCACAATCTAGTCATCACTAGCATGACACGAACTGTGATATATTTGATGTATTTCCATATTTATAAGCAGACTAGTGAGTTCCACATTATGTAAAGAAGTTTAAAATCGTTAGGACGTAATGCATATTGCAGGAAATCTTTCTCAGGATTAAGGATTTATCACATTTCCTCTGGCATTAAATCTTCATTTTTTCATATTCCTATTTTTGTACGAAAGGAAGCTGATGAATGCTGTTATATTGTTGGCAGGAGATGCAAAGTTGAACACAGCAACGTAATGACATTTATGTTATGTATGGTAGGTAAGAGATGGCACATTTTGGCTTGGTGGGGGGCATAAAAACAAAACACCTTTTTGTGCTCATGTTTATAATCTCTTAATCTCTTATTCACATTGTTAATTTGGTGTAAGTGTTTGATAGAGAGAGGCTTCTGGAGATGTGAAAGCATACCCTAGACAAGCACTTACCACCAATGCAGTTCTTCATGTGTGGTGAATTTTTGGAGTACTGTCTCCTCTCACCCCACAGCCTTATGCAAACACCAGACATTCTCATCACAATCTGGCAGGCTGGTCACCCCAGGTACTCAGGGGCGTTTTAACCGCGAGGCAAACAAGGCATTTGCCTTGGGCGGCATTTTCCGGGGGCGGCAAAAAATGCCGCCCCCCCCAAATGCCCAGGGCAAATGCCTAGTTAGCCTCACGGCTAACAGACATGCCGGGCACTGGGCGGCGCTGTGCGGGCGGCTGGCGAGGGAGCTCTTCCTCTGAGCTTTGTGCTCAGCTCCCTCGCGCGCTACAGAGTGAGGCTGGGAGCCGGAATATGACGTCATCAACCCGGCTCCCAGCTCTTCCTCTGAGCTGTGTGCTCAGCTCCCTCGCGCGCAGCAGAGTGAGGCTGGGAGCCGGAATATGACGTCATCAACCCGGCTCCCAGCCTCACTCTGCGGCGCGCGAGGGAGCTGAGCACACAGCTCAGAGGAAGTGCTCCCTCGCCAGCCACCCGCCCGACCATCAGCCACTGGGCCACCAGGGAGAGAGGGGACCCCCCCCCAGCATGGTAAATAAAAAAAAAAAAAATGTTAATGTGAGTGAGTATGTGTCTGTTAATGTGTGTGTGTCTGTTAATGTGTGTTTGTTAGTGTGTGTGTGTTTGTGTGTGTCTGCTAATGAGTGAGTGTGTCTGTCTGGCTGTGTGTCTGTCTGGCTGTGTGTCTGTCTGGCTGTGTGTCTGTCTGGCTGTGTGTCTGTCTGGCTGTGTGTCTGTCTGGCTGTGTGTCAGTGTGTGTGTGTGTGTGTCTGTTAGTGTGTGTCTGTTAGTGTGTGTCTGTTAGTGTGTGTGTGAGTGTATTTAGAAGGCTTGGGGGGGGGTCGCCTGAGTTTTGTCCTGCCTAGGGCAGCACAAAACCAGGATACACCACTGCAGGTACTCCAGTCTCTCCATTAATATCCCAGTTTACCAGTCAGTGCACGTCTGAAGAAAAACAGGGAATCTTAGAACTCTGAGTGTGGGCAACAGTTTAAAGAAATCTCAGTAGCTAGCCCTTCGGTTAGTCCTGGAATTGGGTTTTAAATAAAGGTTTTTCTCACTTGTGCCATTACAGAGAGAACCTTTACTATTTGCATATCAGACTGAACCCGCCCACAAGGGCAGTCCAGATCCAAAATGCTGTCAGGTTCCATCTGCACAAGAGATACAGTATCTCTGGACAATTGTTTTGGCCTTCTATGGACGTTGTCAGTGGGGTGTAGCTGATACCCCTCTAGACACGTGGAGTCCATGAAGGTAAAATAAAAGGTGTGCTGTGTCTTTAAATCTTTAAAATTAAAAATCTGATACTTATTTTGTGCAAAATTACAATGACTTAATAAAGTGCAATACATAAAGTGCAATAAATAATACTTTATATAACACTTCTAGTGCCAAACAAGTGTAAATGCATTGTGCAAAAAAGTGCAGAAATTTTTTTAAAATTCCACAACTTACAGAATTATATTTTTCTCAAACCATTCAAAGAGGTAATAGATATCCATACACATGTATAAGATAAAATAGGAAGGGAAGACAGAAAACATATAGTGTGCTATTTACTATCACATGGAGTCCATGTCTGGATTACCATTTAAACTTAGAGAAAGCCTTAGTAAATGCAATGCAACAAAGACAGAGAATATATGGGAACTCTTAGAAGCTTAGAAAAACCTGACTAGCTTGTACTTCCGAAGAGCATTGAGATCACCGGCCCATAGCTAGACAGATTAATGCCACCCTTGTAAGCCTTCCCTTGTATATAGATAGCTATAGTATCTCAGAGGCACACGTTTGAGTCTAACTATGCAACCTGAGTATTTTATCCTTCTGATGTCAATTACATTAATACAATTTACTTGGTTAATAATATTATCAAGATCCCATAATGTATTTGAAAACTAGTAAAAGATAAGTTGACATACTCTCTTATTCAATACCTTGAAACTCCTCATATTTAACCCCTTAAGGACCAAACATCTGGAATAAAAGAGAATCATGACATGTCACACGTGTCATGTGTCCTTAAGGGGTTAATATCCATGGTCACTGCTGTCACTGCTGATTTTCCTACAGGACTAACAGAAATAGTTATTAATATCTTGGTTCTGTAAAAATCTATTAATATGCTTGTATGAAGTGAAAAAGGCATTTATCATAACTAGTTGTAGCAATTTCTGCTGATTTTTGCATTTTTGTTTTACCTTTTTCCTTCTGCAAGGATTGCATTACCATTTCTGTACGAAGATGTGGAACTGCTGGTAATCATGTTAACAAGCTTGAAATGGCGGTAAACTCCATTCTTTATCTCCAGGCATCAGATAAACAAAGCATGGGTTTCTGCACAAACAGAGCTGTTCCCAATAAACCACTGGCTTTCTCTGACATCACCGGATACATTCTATATGTGCATGTTTGGTACATCTCAGTGCATTGTTCAAGACATTTGGGTTCATCTCTGCATCTGATCGACATTCTGGCCATGCCAACAGTATGGAAGCCTGGAATTTACTCTAACGCCTTCTTAAATTCTCACCTTACTGGGGGCTGCCGTCTTGACTTGAGTTGCACAATTATTCCACCCACTCATTTTATTTCCTGGTAGATACAGTTATGGCATCTTCATTAAAAGGTCAAAGAAATGAGGAGCCGAACTCATGTGAATGAATCATTGTTCAGCATTTGTAAAAAGATATGAGATGACATAGGGCAAGTTATTCTCCTGCAGTAAAATAGCTCTGAACCAAGCTCCAATATCAATTGCACTTTAATAAAAAATACACCATCTCTGAATGTAAATTTAATGAGACAAGAATATCAAAAGTGATATGTACACTTTAATAATGTCCTATGTTAGATTGAATAATAGTGATGTTTCAACCGCTTCTTCATTAATGGTAAGAAGGTAATGATATAATGGGTTCTGATGTATCGATTCAACCAGTGTTAAACTGTGGGGAAAATGACAGAATTAATTAATTTGGCATAGAAATACATCAGACATGGTATAATGTCAATTCACTAATTGTAATCATGATAGCTAGGCTAGGGATGATGCTGCGTTCCAAAACTAAATAAAATAATGCTCAGTGGTTGAAATGTGCATGTAATAGTCTGATGGTATGCATGCCCATCAAATAAATAGTGAACACAGAATACATGAGTTATGTGCATTTGTTTGCACTTTAATTGAGAAATATACTCTCTAACACTCCTAGATCCAACAGGACAGTCCAGATTTGAGATCATCCCAGTGTTTTTTATCTGTTATTATGCTTCTGTCAAAAAGTCTCAAACAGTGCAGCCCAAGTGGTTATTAAACATGTCAATTAAGCATCTCTGCAAGGCCCTGTATTCCCTTCTTGTATTCTACCTACCTAACTAACATGCCCCTTTTACTATTTTGACACGATTTAACATTGGTCATGAGAATCTTGATTGTAGTAAAACCAATGTGAGTTCTTAGGCTAATGGATGCT